TATGTAAATACTATTTAAACATATGGTTTATTCCTAATATCTAAACTATTCACATTTTTTTTAAATGACCGTTTATTATGCAAAACAGTAACTACAATTATGTTATGGTTTTCTAGATTTTAAATGGCCTTTTAAAATGTTTAAATTTGGGGTCTGCAGTTACAAAAAAGACCTTTTTTTATTAAAAACATAAATTTACGTAAAAAATAACATAATTGCAATAATATTTTATTAATTATTGTCAAATTCACTCCATAATAATTATTTGAAATTTAAATTCAAAATTGAAAATCTCTGCTATCTCGATCAATGGGTTGTGACACCACACTGTTGTATATTTTAGCACACCCATAATTCCCAAGTGTTATTGATATCATTTAAAAACAGATGTTTTTTGTAGTTTTTTTTAATTAATTGCAATTTTAGACTAGACACATTTTTTTACGTACGTAAGGCACTGTGGTAGAGTGTCCAAAAACCCTCCAAAGTTGCTTGTCTGTAAATGGTCCCATATTGGTAAATTACATTCTTAAATACCTATACATTCATGATCTGAACCCCTTTTAATTTTAAATAACATAAACTTTTGAGGTTTTTTCTGCTCCAAAAAAGGATTTTAAAAATCTGCTGAAGATTCGATAGTTTAAAAGGCATATAAAAGTCTTTAAAATTATAATTTATTTTGATATAAAAATAAACGTAGATTGTTTTTGCAGTTTTCTCAAATAATAAATCATGTTTCCTTGCAAATATTGAGCTGCCAAAAAAAAGTATCGCTTTGGGAATTTTATACCACCTCATAATATACTTATTGGGGAGTCGTCATTATAAGTTTCATCCCATCCGTAGGGCTGGCTGTTCATTTTAAATTATCCAATTACAAATATTTTTGAACATACAAGTTAAACAAACATTATTTTCAAACCTTCTTCCTTATGACAAACAATGTTTTTTTTTAATCCTTCCATCCTTTATAAAGGTAAAATATACTATGTAGCACACTTAAATAGCGAATTTGGGGAAAATATATTCAGTTTCATTTTGCGCTTCCCAGATAGCACAAGTACGTTCGTAGGACGTTCGTAGGACTTCCACCCAGGACAACCCGAACGTCCTCAGGATGTCCGTGGTCTGCAAAAGTACGTTCGTAGTACGTCCACAGACTTCCGAAATAGACTGTTTCAGATGTCCTTAGGACGTCCGTATTTGACCCCAAGCTATCCAATTCGGGACATATGAGGACCGAATTAGGACATAGTTTTATTATAATAAAAAAGTTTACAGACGTCCTGGAGAGGTATATCCTATAAGTTCAGTCCTGAAATTCTCTGAATCGCAAGATACTTTTTTAACACACTCGCCTAGCTAGACATTATTCGTTACTGAGTAGATGAGGATGGAGATGGGGACTCCAAACAATTAATGTTCAGCTATGCCATTACGGACACACACTTCCAATTAAATATTGCAACCAATCGCTATTTATAGTTAGCTCGCGTGCTTAAGCAGCCGTGAGATGTATCGATTATGCCGCGGCATGCCGCGGCAGGCCGAATTCCAGCCGTAAGCGGGCCGGCTAGGGCAAGCCGAAGGATTTTGCATCGGCATGCCGTATTCTGGCCGACTTCGGTTAGACCATGGCTAAACGGTACCGGGGTAACATAACGCGGGCCCTAATTATAATTATATAATTATAAGTAAAAAAAATGGACAGCTTTTTTTAAAATCTTTTATCGTGCTTGATTAAAGAGTATTTTTAATAAAAAACAAGGTGTAATTTTTTTTCACTTAGACCCTTTATAAAGGGTGATATCAAATTGTATCTTCAACTTTCGTCGCAGGCAGAAAACCGATGGACGTACTGAGGCCTAGGCCTCAGGATGTCCATCGGCCTAGGCCTCAGTACGTCCATCGGTTTTCTGGTCGCGACCGTCTGTAAAGGATTTAAACCGGATGTCCTCAGGACATCTTGTGCTATCTGGGTTATTCTATTGATGTTAGTGACCTTGTGACTAGTGTGAATAAAAGTAGGTGCTCTAGGTGAGGGATTGAGAGAAAGTTATACATAAAGAAGAGATTTTTATCAAAGTTCAACTGAAAAAAAGAAGAAAGTTGACCACAATAAGTCAAAATTTTTAAAACGATATGAAGGGTGAATTTATTGTGGAATCTAATAATAATAATAATAATAATAATTGAAACTCATTGGAACTCGTCGATGCAGCTGCTACGTCATCGCGTGAAAATAAAAAAGGTTCAGTACTGGAAGCTGACTTTGCGTTACCCAGGTAGCATACTGAAGTCTGCTGACGTTTAAATGACGTTGAAATGACGTCAGAAGACGTCATTTAAACGTCATCAGACGTCAGTATGCTACCTGGGTAGCCCTGTTAACTCAGGCTCACTTATCCAAATACCAATATAAAGTCATTAGAAAGGCAATAAAAGAAAAAGTCCACTATAAATTTCCAAGCTTTGACAAAATACTAGAAGTTAAGAAGAAAAGTTATCCGAAGAAAATTTATATCACGGAAACATCGGCCAAAGTTCCGTTGCATCAAAAATTTTCGTATCGCATTCCGAATGTCAGAAGAAGTTGTTCTTTATACAAAATGGGGAATAGATGGGGCTTCTGGCCAAAGTGAATATCAGCAAAGTTTTTCAGACGAGAGTAACGTTGCATCTGATCTGTTGATGACTTCCTTAGTTTTTTAATGAATACAACTGCCGGCACAGACAATATAGACATTTTGAAGAATATGCGTCTATCATCAACAAATTATTGCCGAGCCCTTTCTTTTCAATATAAGAAGTGTTTAGTTTAGGAATTTTTTAGTTTAAATTTCGCGCGCTGCAAATACCGATTTTGATATCGACCGCATTGCGCGGAATCCGAGATTTAAAAATATGGGCAGTTAGCCATTATCGTTCGGGGCAGTTAGCAGCAAAACGGGCAGATTAGATATAGAACGCGTTTTATTCGTTATTCGGTACATTTTGGTAACAGCATATCCTGGTTCTTTCCTTTATCCCTATCAAAACAGTGCCAGAAGTCATCGTGGGGCCCCACTCAGCAGTCACACGAAATGTAAGTCCTGAAAACTTTACCACCATACAGTCCACTCGCTCCCAGCTTAACAAGAAGAAAACCCCCGAGCTGACGAGACTTTAAAAAACTCGAGTTTGCGCTGAAATCAAGGATGTTTCCAAGTCCTAGGTCTTGATAACATCTCTTTTTAGCACGAACTAAATTTCACCACGAGGTTGCTCAAATGATACTTCGTCTCCAAGTATCTGCATCTTGTGTGGACCTAAACCTTCTCAAATTAATGATTTATCAAGGATGGGTGGCTCGATTTCAAGCGAAGAGGCTTTTAAGCTATGGTTGTCAATATTACATGCACGAATCAAGTTCATGGAATTCATTCTGCATCTCAGCTACAATCTGGACTTCGCGGCAACACGTTCTTTAAAAGAAGAAAAGAAAACACGCGTTCAAGACTCATATTTAAAGAAAATCTTTCTGCATCAGTTTACAAAATTATCTTCCACAGAGCAGAGAGTATTAAATGCGCAGCTCTTCCTATAGGCTTATTCTTAGGGAAAGGTCAAGAGTGTAGGGACAAAGTTTATAAATAATTTGTTATGACTCCTTTACATGTGTAGCTTTAGAGACAATAAATATGTTGTATGACTTTCTTACATTTGTAGCTTTAGAGACAATAAAGAAATTGAAACCCTCCTTTTTAGTTTATTTTTCCTTTTGTCTGTACAAAAATGCGTGATTTGAAATGCCATAAGTTTTATCCACTTGAGTAAGTTTTAATTTTAATAATTTTTGCATTATAGAGACTCATTTTACTAATTATTTACCATAAACCACGATAAACAAAAACCGTGCATGTGACGTCACGTGCGAACCAGATTCAAATGTTACAAACAGTTTTGCATAGGCATACGCTATACACGGGTGTTTTACTACGGTTTCTTTTAATTTTTTCCCGAAATTATTGTGTTTTTTAAGTATAAGCCACGCACGATGGTTTTGCAACGTTTTTCGTAAAGTTTTTACTGCATTTATTGAACAGCAATAACTATTTACAAGGTACGGGTGTTTTATACCAAGTTATTTATTAGGTTTGTGTTATATTTGTTAGACTTAATACCTATTTAAAATATGCTGGGCTGTGCTGTAGAAGACAGCAGAAATATGATCAGAAACTCCCACACCCAACCTAACCTAACATTAAATATATTTGATTTCCAAAAAATAAAGATCTGGCAGCACAATGGATGAATGCATGCAAGAGAAAGGATAAAATGAAAATAAAAATCGGAGAATAGAGGCAATTTTTGGCATACACAATTTTCTGTTGGGTACTTGTACTAACTTTTCACCCTAACCACATATTTGCTTACACCATTGTATTGCAAACCCGCTTTAAAAGGGTAACAAATAAAAAAAGTTTTGAGATTTTTTTTTTACTTTTGACACTTTAAAGCGGGCGTGCGTTATTATTACCTGTATAAATGCATTTTTATAATGTTACCTTTCACATTAAAAAATGTAAAATTCGGTCTAGCGTAAGTTTAATTTTATTAAATTAAAAAACATATTTTGTAAAATAATAATACGAAGGTAGGAAATTAATTGTTGCTTAAAATGTTACATTAGTATTAAAAGTGCTTCCTGTCAATTTAACTTTTTGTTAACTTAATAATTGCACCCAGGCCGTCACTATATTTATAAATTTTTGAATATAAGGTGACTTTGCAGTGCAAATAACATTCCAACCCAGTTACCCGCCAGCTTTTGGTTCGCACATGACGTCTCACGGTGCGAAAGAGAGAGCTATAACATGCGCATCAGTATACCGGTTTTTGTGTATCGTGCCATAAATTTGTTATGTACTAGAACTCGCTCAGAATTAATTCAAAATATTATGTGTGACGTCCAAATATTCCAATGTTTAATCAAAAAATAAATATTTCAATTTTAGATAGCAATGAAAACCTTGGATGCAGGCCGTATAGGCATAGCAAGCCAGGCTTTGGGTATAGCTCAGGCTTCTCTGGAAGTGGCAGCTGAATACGCCTCCAAACGCTTAGCGTTTGGAAAACCCCTGTTAAAATTACAAACAATACAAAACAAACTAGCCGATATGGCTTTGCAACTCGAATCTGCGCGACTTTTAACATGGAGGGCAGCTTGGCTAAAAGACAACAAAATGCCTTACACAAAAGAGGCAGCTATGGCGAAGCTGGCTGCCAGTGAAGCTGCGACGTTCTTGAGTCATCAGTGTATTCAGATTCTTGGAGGAATGGGGTAAGTGTTTTTGAGTTGCATGTGCATGTGTTTTATTTAGTTGTCAAAGGTAAATGCTGACATTTTTAAATTAGTTAGATATGGAGACTCGCACGTTTTCTTTGTTTTTTTTTCTTGATATTATTAATTATTAGTTTGATTTCTTTTTAGTTTTTTTATTTTTATTTAATATTTTTCTGATTTTTGGATTTTTTAAATTTTTTCTTTTATTTTTATTTTTTTAAATTTGTTGACCTTTTCCTGATATTTTTTATTTTTTGTTTGTTTTCTTTTATTTTTCTTTAAATTTTTTTATTATTTTTTTGATTTATGAAATTCCGAAATTTTCTATAGCCAAAAAGCAAGACAGAAATGGACAAAGCGATTACGATACATTTCGTTTTTCTCTCTTACTCTTTGAACATAGGAAATAAATAAATTTCCGAAACTGTATATGAAAAACTACTTGAATGTTTGTAAAAAACAGCTAGTTGGCTACAGTAACTGTAACAATAATAAAATAATAATTCTAACCAATCAGGTTTTCGTGAAAATTAATTCTGTGAGTCTGTTGTTGTTGATATCTGTGATGATTTTCTCAAAGCTATTGACTAAAAATGTTGTATTAGCCGTATTTTTAGATTAAAAAAAAAAACAGATAGTAAAATATTGATAAAAAAATTAGAACATATTGTTAGGCATACGACCTACAACAAAATCAATAATAGGCCCAAACTATATATTACCTATCTATAGATAGATAGATATATATATATAAATAATGATATAGGGAAGGTAACTAAAATAAAATGCGTGTGTCATCTTTTATTTTATTTTTATTATTTTATACCTAATTTAAATTTTATTTGTAACAAATCCTGGTTGCAAACTTTTCTAATTTGTTAAAATAAAAACTTTATTATTTTTTTCATTATAAACTTATGTGTAAAATTAAAGCACCACTTTTTCAAAGATCTATACAATTTAAGTAAAATAGGAAGTTCCTGTTTGGATATTTTATAGCCTAAATTTTGCTTAACAAGTTTGCCAAAGGGCGTTAACGTGGGTGCTGTTGTTGGCTCTTCAAACTTCCCCAATGTTAAAAAAGTGATTTTGAGGATTTTTTTATGATACACACAGGTTATTCTTATGCTCCAAAAACCGTTCAAAAATAATAAAAAGGTCTGCCAAGATTTTCTATGTCCTTTACAGTGTTTGACAACCACAAGTTTTCCCTTGGTGACCGGAATACACTTATGCATCTGGACTACCTGCAGCGTCCGACCTCAGTGACCTACACTATTCAGGAAACATTTTCTTTGTAATTTTCTATGCTTGACCATAACATAACCTGTTATCTTTCTCATCCTTACTCCTCAAGCGGCATCTTCCATTTTACCTCGTCTTTTTTATACAAAATGTTTACATGTTGGTTTAGAGAGGTCTATCAGAACCTTTTTTGTATATAAGTACCTGCTACTTTCTACCACCTTCAGGCTCAATCATTTATTTTTTAACATCCAGTGACAAACACTTACATATAATAAAATGAAAGTTAAATTTGCGTCTAGACAACTCGAACAGAAAGGAGCGTGGCTAATTATTAAATACGTTTGGTCATGACGTTTAGTCGCTATCAACGTTTATAATTGATACAGAGGTACCGGGATCGGCACTATTCACAGGTGTGGTGTAAAAACAAATTTTTATACATTTTTTAAATTAACATTTCGAAAAAATGTTTGATTATAAATAAATCACGTCGTTGCTTCCGTGTTCTGCAAAATTCATGAAAAAATTGAGGGTCAGAAGAAACGCTTAAGATGTAGATTTGTAGACGTGCAAAATTGGACAATTAAAAACTGACCTTCAATTTAATTTGTTTAATACCATGTAATTAAAAACTGCACATTAAAATTTATGTTTCGGGTCATTGAAAACAGCCCAAATTTAAACAAAATTGGATAATTGAGTATGAGTATAAGGAACGTATGTCAGGCCCCATCGGCAACGCCTTACACTGATCTCCCAGGGTTATTTTACCCCCTTTCAGTTCTCCTATGTATCCCGCCACTGCACAGCATTAGAGTGATATTAATATCTAATGGCGGTTGACCTTGAGAGGCGATGCAATTTAATAAATAAATGGAAACTAAAAACATCCAAATCTGTCATATGTCAACAGTAAAGCGTTTTTTTCTTTATTTTATGAAATATATTATAACATTAAATAATGACTGCAATTGAAAACCCTGCTGCAAAAAGAACTCCATAAAAGTTATTTTTGTTGTATTTGCACCAAACAATGCAGAATAGTCTAGTTCACAGTTTAGGGTGTAAAAGTTACTTTTGTAAATGTTACCCTCATTTGCAGCAAGGTCTTTAATTATTGTTCAATAGTCTGTAAATAAATACTGGATTTAAGTAAAAAAAAGAATAGAATCTGTGCGAATGCATGATCCGAATGTTGCTGTAAAAATGGATAGGTTATTTATTATTTCATATTTTTATCGTCATCCTCATCTGATGACAAATAACTACATTCAGACTAAATCATTATTAACCCCTATAATAAGTTCATGAACGTCGTCGATAAAATGTTCTCTTGAAATATATTTTTCCAGTCAAATAGGCGAAATCAATTTTGACAGCTTCAAAAAGGGCTTGTTTATGTGTTGGCGAAAATCTATAGATAATAGTTCATATCACTTCTTCATCAAAGTCATCCACTGTTGTCTTGGGACTTGGTTTATTAATATTGTTTCGTGGCGAAGTGAATTTCTTGTAGGCTGGTTTCGTTTAAACCTCCTTGACAATAATTATTCTTGGCACCATTCTCAAAGAAACACCAGTTGCTGCGGCCACTCGCTCTTGTAAATGCCTAAGAGGTATACAGGATCTTTACGATCACAGATGAGAACTACTCTGTGTTCACGATCTTCTTCACGTTTTAACTCGCGTTTCAAATATTGGAGAACGTTGTAGACGATCTGCCGCCCTTGGCTGTGAAGCACTGCTTTTTTCTGTTATTCATTTCGTATAACAAATAATATTTATGCACGATGACATTATAATATGACAATTATAACAAAAATTCTTTGACGTAAACGTCTTTTTATAGCCCGCGGGCGTTATTATGGCCCAGCGGGCTATAATGAAACGTCAAAAATTAAAAACAACCATGTTACACCATTTGATATATTCTAAGTAAGTTTTTTCGTATAAAGATTTTGATTTTACCGGCAGCAGGCCGCAATTTTTCGCCTTTTCAGCTGCTTCCTCAATTTCATTTATCTTTAAACTTTAAAACTGACTGATGTCAGTTGAAATTATAATATGACAATTATATCAAAAATTCTTTGACATAAACGTCTTTAAAAACAATAATATATTAAAAATAATAATAAATTAATCGTGCATAAAGTTTTGTATGCATTGCTGGCATAACTGGTTTTTATGGTCCTACGACGCTTTTCTAGCCCTCGCGCTAACGCGCTCGGGCTCGAAATAGCGCCTCGGACCATAAAAACCTTATTATGCCCTTAATACATAAATAACTATTATATAAATTATATTATAATATTAACGAATATAATAGAATTTTTAGCCTAGAAATGTCTAAATATGTCAATAAATATAAGCATCGCCAACTCTAGGGTAATATGTTTTTAACGGCGAGTAATAGCGCGATTTGATGGATTTGAGACTTGAGTGATGAATGGCTTCTTATGTGTGCCCTTGTGTTTATAAGTTTTTTGGCTATGCTTGCTTTTCTTATGAGAACTGTTGGCGACTAATTAATTTTACCTGGTGAATTCTTTGTTAGTTAAAGTTTTTGCACTTGGATCTGGTAGATCACATGTAGAATCGTTATTGATTTTTTTTTTAATTTGAAGAACTTTAGCGGTGATGGCACCATGAAAGTAGAACGCGTTACTGTGGATAATTAAAAAATTGTGAAAATAATTTAAAAATTTTCAAAAATTCGCAAATAGCATCAATAAAATGGCAAGGGGTAAACACTTAAGGATAAGGATTTTTTCTTATTTATAACGATAAGGAAAAATCACAACACAACGTCCACATAACATTGAACGTTGGTATCGCTGATTTTAAAGTGGTTTACCCCTCGTAAAATGGTATGACAAATTTTCAAAATTTCTAATTTCATATTTTTTAAAAAATTTTAATTTTCCATAATTTATAAAAATTTTAAAATTTTTCAGATTTTAAAAATATTTAAATCTTTTCTTTATTTTATATAATTTTAAGACCACCAGTTTTTAAAAAGCTGTGCACATACTAACATGGTTAAAGAATTTATGCCAAGCTATTTTTTAATTGTTTTTGTAATTATGTTTTTTTGGAGATTTGTAGGTAATGGTTTTTATGATTATTTTTTGTGAAAAAAAAAATCATGAAATTTTTGGTTAATTTCATCAGTATATTTTTAGCTGTTCATCATGAAATATTACATTTTTTATTTGTTGACAGTTATGTGACAGACATGCCTGCGGAGAGGCATTATAGGGACGCAAGGATTACGGAAATATACGAGGGCACGTCGGAAATACAAAAATTAGTAATAGCTGGAAATCTGATCAAAGAAATGGGCCTCTAAATAATTTTTTATTAAAATATCATTATCACGAACAAATATTTTTATATTTAAGTACAAAATTATATTATATTTATACATAAAAAAGTTTTTTATTTTTTTCTACAAAAAGTTTGCTATTATTATAATATCCTTTATAAAAGTAGAACCAAACAATATGTTATATTTTGATATATAGTAAGTATAGTCCTTTCTTTTTTTACCCTTTTTTGAACCTTTTTTTGACGTTTTACTACTTTTTTTGCTCTTTTTACTCCGCTTACTGCTTTTGCTGCCTTTTTTGCTACTTTTTTGGCTACCTTTTTTGCTTCCTTTTCCTTTTTTACCCTTTTTCTTCTTTTTATCATCAGTTTTAGGTTGACGTGTTGAAAAAAGTAACGGTGCCTTACCAAAACGCACTTTTAGAGGTTTTTTTGAACTTTTTTCGACCGTCATAAAGTTATTCAAAGGATCTTCGGTAAGAAAATCAAAATTTGACTCTCCCTCATACAATGTGAAAAAGTTTTGTAATGAATATATTTCATCTTCTGTCAATTCATGACTAAACGCTTTAGGTGCCTTTTTTTTGCTACTTTTTGATGACTTCTTACTGCTTTTTTTGCTTTTTTTGTCTTTTTTACTACTTTTTGTATCCTTTGCTTTTTTATTCTTTGCTTTCTTATCCTTTGCCTTTTTATCCTTTTTTTGTTTAATTCGTGGTTTTTCCGTAATTTTTCCTTCCATTTCACATACCTTTTCTAATGTTATAGTTATGCTACCTTGTCCTTTATTTATAACCTAAAAAATAAAAAGAATTAAGTAGAACCTAAATTTATTATTACGAAAACCTCAAAAATAATATCCGTAACATCTTTTTCCCTCCCATCAATTCTAAAAACAGTAAAATTTGGCAGCACTGTAAAATTGGCCACCACGCCTTCCCCACATAACACCATTGGATATTTCGTATGACCACTCTGTATCTCACAGATTTCTTCCACCTAAATGGGAAGAAATAAAATGTCAATTTAAAGTTATAACACTAACTAAAAGGTAAGTTTTAACTTGTTTTTAGTTTTTAAGTATATATACAAAAACTATGGTAACATAATTTTAACCTATAAATTTACAATATTATACAAAATGTCAAAGAATACGCAGGACAAAAGAGCCCCTTTTGGGGTTACAACAAAACGGTTTTGCCCCATGGGGTTTCATCCAGGGTTGGACCCTTCTGGGGCGATGAAAAAACCCATAACTAAGTCTGGGCCTGGTAGTTACAACCCTGTTGCTTCAAGGTGCATGAACAAAACATCCAAGTAAAAAAAATAGATAAGGTATTATTTAAGGTAATATATAATTTTTTAAGGGATGTCTGGATGAGAAAACTAAAGAGCGAGGTCTGGTCGAAAAATTTGGGATATCATTTACCACAAAAACTTGCCGAAAGGAAATTTTTTGCCTCCATGGGCGGCCCAGCTGTTACTATAGTCGACCCAGACTTTTTTAAAATTAAATCTGACTTGGTCAAAGAAAATTGTGGTTTTGGGTATCAGAAACGATTTTTTGTATCCAAAAATGATGGAAACGTACCACCCCCAAGTATGTCACAACTTTTTGTGTGATTTTATTTAGCCCCAAAAACCCCATTTAGTAATATTGTTTGCTGAATCCGATCGATGAATATTTAATTTTTCATAATTTATTTAAAAATATCTTCGATACTACATAGTTTGCTGATCAAAATTTTTTTGATACCAAATTACCGGAACACAACTTCTCTATAATTAATATATTTTACATTTTCCTATCAAATTATCGGTTCACTAGCTGTTTAAGAAGTTATTGTCGATTTAGGTTAATTTTTACCAAATTTTTACAAAAATTATATGTTTTACCATTTACTCAATGGTTTTACTCTAAATTATATACCCGGAATATATTTTCCGGTCCGTTTTTAAATTGGATGTCGTAAGTTATACCAAATACTTAGTAAAAATCGGCTAAAAATGTAGATGTAAGCATTTTAGTAAAAATGCAAAAATTAACTCCTTTTGTTCTTACGGAACCGGCCCGGGATCAGTCCCGAAAAATATAAATGTTTTATTTTAAAACAAAAACAAAAAACTAACAAATCTGCACAATGCACACAACAAGGTATGTTCGATCTCCTAGTAAAAATACTAAAAATCACTGCAACACTGCACATCATACGATGGCGGCCATTTTTGTTGTTTACAATTCTTGTGCTTTGGGTTTGTACAGATTAATAATCGTTTTAAACGTTTTGTTTCTTACAGAGAGACTTGCAAGCCTTAAAAGAGACCTCAAAGTGGTAAGAACAATCATTTTACTCCTGTTTTGTAAAAAATAAACCTTATTCTATCAGGGCTGTCAAATGTCAATTTGCAGGTGTAAGGTTATTTTATAACCCACAAATTAACCTTCAAATTGACATTTGAAGGTTTATTTTTTACAAAAGAGGAGTAAAATGATTGTTCTTACCACTTTGAGGTCTCTGTAAGAAACACAACGTTTAAAACGATTATTAATCTGTACAAACCCAAAGCACAAGAATTGTAAACAACAAAAATGGCCGCCATCGTATGATGTGCAGTGTTGCATTGATTTTTAGTATTTTTACTACGAGATCGAACAGACCTTGTTGTGTGGATTGTGCAAATCTGGACAGTTTTAGAAAAATTAATTTAAAATAAACGAACAAACAATATCTTTCGGACTTCACAATAGTTAAAGAAATGGTTTTCAAGAACTCGTAGGCACGTTGTACCCACGTTTAATCTTTAATAAATAAATTCCATTTATTTTATCAATCAGGCCTTGGTGAGTTCAAATTGGGCCTGTAAAACAGAAGATTTTTCCCTCTGCTCGTAGGTATAATTTTCGCGATGGAAACTCGATATTTTCTATTCTATTTAAACAGTTTTTCCCATTCATGTTTAATTTTTGCGACCGGCCTTTTTATTTTGTCTTTAGAATCCGTCGTAGCCACCTGTGAAACGTGTTTTAAAACCATATTTTAGTTCGATTTTGTCTTTCGTGTGTGGTGCATCGCATTTTCATCTCTGGGACATTGCTCGATGAAAGTTTTAATCATAGCTGACTTCAACCCAGGAGGGACAAAATTGAATTCCGGTTATAGAAATATACCTGTATTTTTTAACAATATCGCAAGCTTTGACCTTCTAGTATTTTGGGATTTGTACAATACATTGAGTGGATGATCCAAGATTTGGAAAATTCACGTGTCTATGGGTGGATGGCTTCGTGAAGCGCATGGACATTAAAACTTGTTGCTGGTCAAAGTGGTTCATTGAAACAGAGACCATTAAGGCCTTAGGCCACCAAGGAAGAAGAAGAAAACCATATTTTGCATTTTGTATGTATGGGGTAGTTAAATAAAAAAAGAGTTTTAGACATTTTGTCAGATTTGACGTTTAAAATATGTTATAACATTTTATTTGCTGATTTCATGCTAAACGCGATAGATGGAACCACTCTTCCTATGTAATTTAAATGTATTTTTATTTTTGTACGGCGGTGTATAATAATTTTACTTTTGAACTGTGTACAAAAATGTATATAGAATATATAGAATATATTCTATGTCATTTTCGCAACTGTTTCAAAGCCCAAACAGTTGCTTTCATCAATGCTGCAACACAAATTCTTTGAAATTTTTTGGAAATTTTTTAATTTTCTTGTGAATGCGTTCAATCAAATAGTTAAAATTAGCATGATACTTACAAAAGGACACATTATGGGGCATATCGGAGCATAGTTAAATGTTTTTTGGTCGTAACTCATAAAATTTCTTCAACTTCATACCAGAATCATGATTCTCCTCCAGATATGGACTTATACCTTTAAGTGTCATTCAAAATGAGGGTATAGAATTAGAAATAACATGGAAAAGTTGGCAAAATTCATTTGGCAGGCAACAAGTTCTTGAAATAAGAGGATCTCTAAGCGCGGCTCTAAATTCCCTTCATGAACCTTTAGGACAGTTTAAAATTCACCAGTTTATAAAAGGTGTTCAAGAAAAAAAGTTAAAAATTAAATAAATGGTGAAAAAGCCTAAGATTATTCGTGTATTTCTCATGATGAGATTCAATCGGCTCACAGGAGCCATCAGCAAGTTACAGTATTTACTGCCGTAGCATGAGTATCCAGTAATTGTCACTCTTTTGCTGTGGTTAGTAACAACCTTAAACATTATAAAATTAAAAAAAAGTTTACGTTAACAAATTTATGCTTCATGGTGTGTGGTTCCTGGAATTTTTTCGCAACGTCCCATGGAAAGGGATTGTTGATGGTGTCGGGGAAAACATTAAACGAATGGCATGGGAAAAAGTTAAAAGGTAGAAAGGCAATAATTAATGATGCAAAATCGTACTACAACGTCGTTTTGTTGGAGGCTAAAACTATTAACATATATTATGCATCTAATGATGACATTAAAGAATACAGTGTCAAGTTAAATTCTCGTTGGAACCATATTGCGTCATTGAAAGGGGTTAAATCTTGCCACTTTTTCAAGGCACTTGATAGGGAAAGACTGTTAATGGGTCAAACCGAATTAAATACCTTGAAAACAATTAAGTGTTAAATATGTAAGTAGTGTTTATTGTTATTTTTTTTAATTTTATGATTTAATATTAAATAAAATATTACCAATTTTTTCCCATCCCTCCAGTCCCGTCTATCCCATGAATAAAAATTAAAAACTAAGTCCTTAATGACAATTTGCAAAACTTAATAATTTTTTAGCAACATAGGACGTCTACAATGGTAGACTGTATTTTTTGAATTTTTGTATTTGTATTTTTGAATTTCTTATTCAATAAACTATTAAAAAAAGAACTTGTAAATGTAGGACAAAATTTGTAGGAAAACCCCCACTGGATGCTACAAAGTCATACCCAACCAATTTTGTGAGGACGTTGGGTCCCGATAGAAAATGTATAGGAAATTACCTATAGGCACACCATAACTTTTACATTTTCCCTATTGAGACCGATAGCAAATAACTCAATGAAGGATATATAGGGATATCCCTATAGAACAACCATAAAACATTT